GCCGCTGAGCCAAACATGGATCAGTTGAAGCTGAAACAGCAGCAGCAGCCGCACCTCAACAATGTGGAGCAACTGTGGCCGGAGCAGGTACTACCGGAACAGGAGCTGCCATCGAGCCATGTGTCCCAAGATCAGGCGACGCCAGAGCTGTTCAAGCAGGTGAATGCCTTGCAGCTGCACTTGGAAGCATTGACTCTCCAGGCGGAGGGCACCAAACGCATGGAGCTGCTCCAGAGCGAAGTGCGACCCATTTTCACTGTCGAATGCCAGCTGTCTGATGAACTGATTGCCTCAGTGCCGCGTGGTCCCATGTTCCACATCATGCAATTCGAATCGGAGAAATTCCAAAGTCTCACTCAATGCACACGCTTCGGGCAGACGCAGCAGCGACAGATACAGTTGCCCGGAATGGAAAATGATGATAAGGAAATGGGCAGTATTCATTTCACGATCTGGTGGCGCGAACCGGGCACCTGCCTGAACGAGATGCTCGGCATGGGCCAGCTGCCACTGGCCGAACTCTATCAGCAATCGCTGCTGGAGCAATGTAAATGCATTGTTATTCAGCGTCGCGATCTACATCTCGCCAGTCTGTATCTGAAGATCAGCTTGCGTAACGATCAGCAGTTGATGATGTACAAGACCCTGACTAATGAGTCATATGAAAGCAACAACAACAACAACAACAGTAACAGCAACCATGGTGCAGCGGCTGCAGGTGAATATATATGACTAAAGTCGTGTGGGCGCGATCAACAGCAACAAAAACACCAGCTACAACAACAGAAGCAACAAGAACCCCAAGAACTACACCTCTACTGCACCAGCAGCAACAGCAACATCATAATTTTGTTGTTGCTTCTTATACGGCTCTATGTTCAATTGGTTGAAACTATAAAAGCGCTGCCCATCATGTTAAAATCAATAAATATTTTCAGTTTATTTGCAAAAGACAAAAAATCGAACAATTCTCTCGTCTTTTTATGTTTAATTGCCCACCACAAAACATATTCACTTACCTTTTGGCCACACAGCGTACGACAATATTTATTTATATTTATATATAGTCATACATACATATACATACGTTTTACTTTCCTTCATTGTGTGCTTTTTTTTTTTAATGAGAATACAAGTTGCGGCACAGTGGGATGGAAGCTTATGAATTTCGTTATGTTGCCAAGTCGCGCGCCGAATTTTATCAGCAGAGGGCGCTAATAACACGAAAGTGTTATGTAACAGAGCATCAGTTTTCATGTTTAACAGGCAAATGTTATTGGTAGCGATCAAGCTATGTAAAAATGTTGAGCAGCTGTAAATTTTGATATTGGAAAGGTATTTTTTAATAAATAAAGTAGTGTAGCAATTTTTCACATAATTAAAGGAAGCAGTCAAGTAAATTGAGCTCTTTAATATAAAAAATGATTCTTTATGATCAATGTACTTGAATACTTTCTCGCGCTCTGCTCTACTTCCCAATCTTTCGCACAATCGGCAATTCCTGCTTCCAACCGCATTGAGCTTTGAATGGGTTTACGCATGCGATAACAAAGTATTCTGTGCGTGATTCAGTTCAAATACATATACATATACATTTTATATTCTAATATTAAGCGCATGGCAGCTGGGAGTTCAAGGTGCAACGAGTCCAGCTATATAATCTATATGGAGTGCAATCTCGTTGATCTCTACTCCCTCTCATTCTCTCTCTTTCCCTAGGCAAGAACCAGAGCAACAGCGAGCAGGGTAATTCAAGGGGTATTGCGTCGCCTCCATTAGTTGCCAACAACAACAACAGCAAAGCTTCATTGGATATAGTCAATTTCATGGCCGAGACAACCAAAGTGCGTCTGCTGCGTGGCTATATCTTTGCTGGCGAGACGCGTCAATTGTCGGCCACAGATGCCGCTAGCTTCAAGGAGCTAGTGTTGCAGCCCTTCTGGCAAGCCCAGGAGCTCACCATTGAGGTGAATCCCCAAGGCGTCTTCCAGCTGCAGGAACAGTTCGCCGTCATCAACGATGAGAAGTTTCTGCAAAGCGTGGAACGACAGCAGCTGCTGCTGGAACTGCGTCCACTGGGCGGGCAGGTGCGTCTGCCGCTGCATCAGTTCTTTATAGCCTACAGAGATGCCGTCATCACCAATCATCTATGCAAGTGCAAAGTGAGTGCAGAGCTCCATATCTATGCATATCTTCTCTCAGTTTCCCATTTTCCTGCCCTCAGTTACCTGTAATTTCCATTGATGGCTGGACGCCCATTCTCCATGCCGAGTCCCAGCAGCAGCTGGGTGAGCTGAAGGTGCTGCTGGCCATTGGCAGCGAATCGCAAATAGCACTATTGAAGCAGCTGCGTGGCTTCGATGTGGAAAACAATCAACAACAGCAGCCGCTGAGACGCACCACAGATCTGCTGGACATGCTCCAGAGTGCGCTGGGCACCACGTCCGTTGCTGTGCCAAAGGCGGCGCCCGCTGCACCCGCCACTGGGAATCAGTTTAGCTTCAGATTGCAAATTGTCGGCGCTGCTGGGCTGCCGGTTAATCGGGGCTATGGTAAGCGTGGCATAAAGCAGTCGGGGAAGCGACAGACGGGCGGTGGGCGTTTTCCGCCCGACGAGCCGCCTAGCACCTATGTGACCTTCCAGGCGTTGAGCTGTACCGATGCGCAGACCTACAAATCACACGAGGGCCTGGTCTATGGCACGCCCATTGTGCAGCACTCGACGACGCCGCAGTGGCACAGCGAGTTCCAGGTGGAAGTGAGCGCCGATTATCTGAGCAATGTGAGTGGCAATCAATTCAAATAACCGTTTCGGCTCTCTCTGACGATCTGGCAACGCTAGCTTTTAAATTATGAGTTACAATTTATAAAATTAATTTCGCTTTGCAGCCGCAGAAACTGTTTATATTGAAAGTGTGGAAGAAGACAGCGCAAAGCGTGGGCGCAGAGCCGGCGCCTCTCGAGGATGCCATCCTTGGATTCGCTGCCTTGAATCTCAACCAGAGCGGAACAGGCGCCAGCTGGCCCAATGGCTGGCACAACATAGTCGACTTCAACGGTCGTGTAAAGGGCGGTTTGGAAGTGCATGTGCAGCCGCTGACTTCTTGTGGTGATGCCGCCTCAAACGTGGACACTGCCATCGATCAGTTCGAGCAATCTCTGGAGCTGCGTCACCTGCAGCTGGGACAGGCAATCAAGCGCAAGTTCACGGAGCTTCAGGAGATCTCGAATAGATTGCGCACACGACTGGGAGATGTGACCGGCGAGTCGTTGCAATCGCCGCAATACGATGTGGACGCCGCGCTGGACAATTGGCAGAGCGACGAGCTGCAGCAGTTGCACGAGGACGATGAGCTGGTTGCCGACTTTGAGCGAGCATTGCGCACCCCAACGCCGCCACTTGACACAGAGGACGCCAACACCAGCAGCACACCCACCGCACAAAATACAGCCGATGCTGGCAAGGATTAGCCCAGGCTGAGGCTCAAATTGCACCCAAGGCACACAACTTTTGTCGACGCACTTTTATCTCACGTTCTCTTGCTCTCTCGATGTCCACGAATCAGGCTCAAGCATAGTTATATTACCATTATTAGATAACCTCCACTATCTATATACACATACATACTTATATATATATACAATTATATAAAACCTAGTTATATATTCCCATGTGCTGTACTTAAATTGGCAAACCATTTGCCGCGATTCACCTTTGCAAAGGCTGTCAACTAGCAAGAAATCAAAGGCGTTCACCTGGCGATCGCCATACTGAAATTCATTTTGTCCACGAATTAAGGCAAAAAAAAAAAAAAATAATAATAATCGAAGAATATAAAAACAATTTTTAAATATTGTTTTTGGTGTAGCGCTCCTACTAAGGAGCAGCTGTCAGATATTAATGCGTTAACCCTTTTGGCATCAATTGCCACATAATTATGTATTAGTTATGGAACTGTGTTAATCACCGTATTTAGTCATTATTACTTAATACAAATGAAATGCTATGCAACATTCAAAACCCCGTTTTTTCTTTGGGACTTCAAAACAATATGAACGAGAGTTCATGAGGGTCTTTCCACAGCTAACTTAACATTTATACTAAAGTTGGAGATCGTTTAACTCATTCATTCACTGATCTGCCTCAATATAAATTCTGCTCCAAGTTATATATAAATGTCAAGTACATCTATTTAAAACGCAATTACAGATCCCTTATCTAATCTCTTTATATTACATTTATTTCATCATAAGAGCTTGGCTGATAAATAGCTAAATTATATCTTATAGACAAATGCAAAATTTCCAATAGATATGACGAAAGTAAAAAATGATTGATTAATCATTTGTTGACAACTAAGTGAAAGCTATTTAAAACGCAATTACAAGTTCAATAATGTCTAACCTAACTTATCATTAAAGTCTATTTCATCATATAGCTAATTCATATCTTACATTCAGGCAAAAACAAAATTTCCTATAAATATGACGAAAGCGGCAAATTATTGTTTATTACTCATTTGTTGACGTCTAAGTGAATCATCACAAATCTAATATATATACATAAATATATATATATATATATATGAACTGCTTCTATCACCTGATGTACTCTTTTATATATTTTAATTTTATTTCTCTGCCTTCCATTTCAAGTAACAAAAATACGTTTCGAGTCGGTTTTAAATACATATTGAAAAATATTTTTAATATAAAAACGGTTACATTCTTAGCCTAGATCTAATGTGTGTATGTGTGTGTTGTTTTTATGCATTTTTATTTCGGGTATAGCTGCAACTGCATACCGAACTTTTCAGTTTTCACTTTTCTTCACTCTTCTATGCTAGAAAATAAGAGGACAAATTATAATGATTGATATACATGTGTTTCTTTCTACACGATTCAGCTATAATATGTCTATATGAATATATATATATATATGTGTATACATATACGTATATATGTAAAGTCCAAGTTCTTTGAATGTTTTTGCTTTTGAATATATATATTTTTTTGGCGAATGATGATTGTATAGTTGTCTAAACTCTGAAAGAGCGACAAATCTTTTGCAAGGATATTGAATAAACTTTAGATCGCTCTCCTGTTTCTTTTGAGTTTAGTTCGTGTTGATGAAGCTATTGTTTTCCTTATATAAAAACTGTATAAAATTGATGTGTATATAGAAAAATCAGTTTGAATCCCTTTGCCTAGCCGTTAGCTTGTTGCTTACAAATAACATAGTTATCTTATGTACTCTACTATCATTAGATGTATTTTATGGACATAATGTGCTATAGATTATTTGTTTCTTTGTGTTGCGTTATGTTATGAGGGCTGGAATACGTTTGGCTGGTTGTTGACACTGTTTCTTCACTCAAAATGGAACGTCTGTCGGTAAATGGTTATGATGTGCATATTGTTGTTGATTAAAACGTCGTGTTTATGTTATTTATAGTGTCTTTCAGTCAATGACCACGCGGGTGAGGAGTATTCCGCGCTTGCTCAGCCAAAGGCTATAAATAAAGGAGGACAAATTATTGTTTGGTATTACTCATACTTATTTGTACAAAATTGATTTAAATAATTTACCCGAAGCCAGCGCCCAGGAGCAATGAGAGCACATTAGTGACCAGCAATGAGTACAATATTTCGCGGGAGAACAACGAGTTGGCGCCCAGACGCTTTAAGCGTATAGAGTAACCCGAGCTCTTCTTCTTCTCATCATCATCATCGCCATTGGAGCGCTCAAATTTCCAATCTCTGCAGCAGCAGCGTATAAGAAATAAATAAAAGGCATTGAAAAACAATAAAATAATGCGAAACAACAATGTCGCTTACTTCGGTGGCTGTTCATCGGTGCCGCGATTCCAGTTCTGCAACCAATCGCCATTATCGGTGTTTTGTTTGTCGCCATTCTGTTTCGGTTGATGCATATATAATTAGTTCAAGCTCCAAAGTGACAAGGTCAAGTTAATCTTTATCTTCTTGACTCACCTTAGTCCAATAATTGATATACACATTTCGCAGCTCGTCGTCCGGGCACAGCTCCGATTGTGGACTGTTTGGCGGACTCTTGGGGCTGTCGTGGGGCGTGTCGCGACGCGAACTGGCCAGAGACACGACGCGACTGGACTGATTTGATTCGCGCTGCGCCTCGCGCAGCAAACGTAAATATTCCTCCCCACTGGCAAATGGTAGAGGTGTAATTCTGTCGGGACTCTTAATGCCAGCCATGGCAGCTGTTGCGCTCAATTCGATCCAAGATTCTGCAAACAAAGGACAGTCAAAGTTATTTATGAAGATGATAATGAATTGATAATCAGAATTGATTAAGCATCATAATTTATTTCTGCATATGCATGCATTTAGCAGGATTTTGCTTTAATATGACTGTTCAACCGTGTGTTAATTCAAATATTAACAGAAGAATTATTAGCAGTTCAGTCTCTGCTATTAACAGCGCACATTATTTTCAAGCAGCTGCGTATTGATGGAATTGGCTGACGCATCGTATGATAGATTTTATGTGTACAACAGAATGCCGCAGCCGGCAGACCGGCTGCTGATTCTCTTTTCCTTAGCTTGTTTTGTCTCTACATTTAATTTCATAGCAGAGTCCGGCACTTCATGTTTGCTCTCTCTCTCCTTATATGGCGGCATTCACTGGTTTAGCTTGCTTTCGCTTTTTAGTTCAAAAAGTAACAGAGCCCGCCAAATTGCGCTCTCTTCCGTTGCTAGAGTTAACAGCATTCACTTCTTTAGCTTGTTTTGGCTTTTTATTTAGCTTGACTTTGTTATGCTAAAGTTTAACCGCGCGTGGGCAGATGTCGTGGCCCCATTTATTTTGTCTGCTTATCGTCTGTTTTTGGCGTTTAATGCCAGTGCGCTGTACGTTAACAGAGCTGTTAATTTTAACAGCGTAAACAAAACTACCAAAAACAGCCGCCTCCACTGCCTTTGTTTGTTTTTGTGCAAGGTATATATCTCTTTCTGTATGTGTGGGTTTATGTGTACGAGCGTGCGCCCCCATTGATAACGCAAACAAAACACAATTTCCGTTTCAGTGTATTACCCATGCATGTTTTTTGTTGTGTCTACTGGCTATCAACAAAAATTTCGTTTTCAACTAAAACAGACGACGAACGATGATGATTGCAATTAGAGCAGCGTGCAAATTACATGATACTGTGTGACAGTACTAGTTGCTGATAATCGACATAACTGTTCTACGGTTGTCAATCAATTACGCCCTGGTCTGAAAAAAAAATCGCTTCTACACTCACGTGGCAGACCAATCATCTCGATGCACGACCTGTCGAAACTATACTAAATATTCGCAGACAGACTTTCACAATATTGCGAAAAACAAAATACCCGAAAACTAACAGGTAATTTCGTCTTCGTCTGCGTCTTAGTCTTCTACAGGTAAATAAAAATCCAAACAATAACAAAGCTGACCCATAAACAGGTTCTACGGCGAAATGGTAAAGCCAGTAACAGCAATAAGGGTAGCAAAACAAAACAAACATGGCTTGCTGACTCACAGCACGTAGGCAAAGTGCCCGACGACGGCTCTCTTCTTGCAGTCTCTATCTCTTTCGCTTTAAAAGTGCATGTGTATGCGTGTGTGCATGATGCGCAGCTGTTAAACCCTGATCCGAGGCTGTCGAGCGTACAGCCCAATGAACCGCCTTTTGTTGACTGCTTATAGGTATTGGCGCACAGATTCGCTTACTTTTATCACATACACACAAGCATTTGTGTCCGTAAATAAGCTACATACAAATATACATCATATATGCATATGTATAAAACACACTCACACGTTTTTGATAATGAACCCCAAGCGACGCGTCGCTGTGAAAATAGGCTAGGCTAAAGTCGCAATTTCTGGACTTTGCGAAAAACAACAAGAACAAATGCCAAATCAAAGGCAAATGCCCTCCGACAATTGCTTTTAAACGAAATTTCGCAGACAAACAACCATACACACAGAAAAAGCCGCGTGACGTCAATTTGCCAAAATAAGATAAATATAAAATACAACTGTAAATATAAAGTGCATATTGTACACCTATTTACATACATATGCATGTATATATGAATGGGGCGCTAATTCCGTTGCTTCCATATACCACTTCTTCTTTGTCTGCTTTCTGTTCGAGGCGAAGTTGCGAGTCTTTGTTGTTGTCATCGCCTGACAGGCGGCTGCTGCGCTGCGCAAGCAAGAGATATGTACGTGTGGCCACACACTTGCACATACAAACGTAAGCAAAACAAAACAAGACTGACAATAACAAACTGGAGCCTTGAAATAGTATATGGGCTAGTGCAATGGAGATGTGGTTACAGTTATACCAACTTATACACACACACTACCATAGAGAAACATACTGACATGAATACATACAGACACATAAACAAATCAAAAGCAACATCTATTTTTAACTGAACACAAACAATAATAATAACAACACGTCATACTAGAAGCACTGCATTGTTATTATTATTATTATTGACGAATACCAGCACACACACTCACACACATTTGCACATTCTTTGATGTGTATGCGTGTGAGTGTGTCTGCAAGTGTGTGATCGCAAACTTACCACCCAGCAAATCTTCTGTCGATTTTGGTGTCGTAGACATTTTGTTTTTCTCTTTGTTTGGTATTTATAGTATGCTACGTTCGTTTAGCAGTTGAAATTCTCTGGTTGTTGTTTTCTATTTGTACTAAACACGTCGTCAAAAGATAACGTGTTTGTTATTGTTGCGGCGTACAAATAAATTTATGCAGATTAAACTAAACTTTTTGCCAGAGCGGCCCTTGTATTGCACTTATGTGTGTGTGAGTGGGTCTGCGTATTATATGTGTCGTGTATCTTGTTAGTGTATGCGAGAGAATATGCGTTTTATTTTTTACAGTTCCTGTTCCGTCTGCACTGTTGCTTGTTTGTGCTTTTAGCTAAATTTAACGGCTATCGTCTGTTCTATGTATTATTGTTTAATTTATAATATGCTCTTTCTTTTAATTTAAGTATAATACACAATTTTTCTTTTACGCACGCTGCAAAAACCTAATGCGTAGTTCAGCTAAAGCTGCTGGATGCAGCGAAAACACAAACTGCTCGTCGAAAACCACGAAGATGACTGCCCACAAGCACAACAATAATATGCGACAAGGCAAAAACAGAAACGAAATGCGAGGAAGAATACCGAACTTAATACGGCGTTGCCAGACAGTTAAGAGTGTAGCCCTGTTATTTATTTTGCGCGCACAAACAAACTTTAATTACCGCGTTTTCAAAAACAAATCAAATGTTTCTAAATCACTTTTAGCCACGTTTCTTACAAAATAAAAATTGTTGCCCTGCACAATTTCACTTGGTGAAATGTACAAGTCCTTCTGCGGATCGTATTGAGCGCGTCCCAGCAGCTTTAGAAACTCGTGTCGTTCTCGCAAGCGAAACTCTCGGGAGGCAAGAAGCTCAGGACATTGAATAATCTGCGCATGACTTAATCCCATATCGTTGTGCACATAGCTAAAGCGCTCGACAAGATCATCTGGAGCTGAAAAAGTCATCAAATTAGTTAATATATATGGGACCACCTATAAAGGCTTCACTTACGGATCATCATCAGACGTGGCGAATGGACAACTAACGTTTGCAGCTCCTTGTTACTGAAGCCCATTTCTTCACGTAGTGTGAACACGGATTTACGTATATGTTCCATGTTGAAGGTTATCAAACGCGGTTCTTTGGTGGCTAGCAAGCGTAGATCATGGCCGCTCAGGTGAAACTCTTTTTGGAAATAACCCAAACGTCGATCAATACGTTTGGTGGAGTACATTAACCAATATGGGTTTTTGGTGAATATCCGCTGAAGTGCCTCAATTGAGAAACGTTTACTCTTCATGTAGTCAACACGCGTTTGCAAATCATCTAGATCCTCCTTGAATATCAGTGGATTTTTAGTAATCATTTTACCAAAGTCATCCGGCGATATTCCTTGGTCTGCCAGAAATGTTAAGTAGGGCTTCACATTTTCCTCAAAGTCCAGCTTCAGAACGAACTGACCCAAGCCTTTGCGCCGCTCAATGCTGTGCAGATTGACGCCCAGACTAAGCAGCTGTTGCAATGTTTTCGAGTTGTTCACATGTGCAGCTAGATTAAAGGTGGGCACGTGCGCCTCCCGGATGCCAAAGTCGAGTGCAACGGCGTTGTTTTGTTTCTCATTTGGTTCGGCAAGCGTCTTTTCTGTTGGCTCATGATGCTGTGCCACATCTGATTGTTCCGGTGGTACGATAAAATCACTTTGCACTCTTTTAAGTGCACGTATATATCGTATTTGTTCACCAATTGGATAACATTTTGTTGTTTTCGAAATTCTTGCTATATTACGTATCCAAGTGCAAAGCATGGCAACAGCTGATAGAGCTGCCAGAAGTTTCAGTTCCAAACATAAAAGACAAAGCAGTGTTGAAAAATTCGCACAATTATTGTATCAGAAATATCGATACTATCGCTTGGCGGACCTACTCTAATCAGACATTCCGATCGTGTGTGTTTCTTTTGTATTCTAACAAATTAGTTCAATAACAGAATAGAATTTAGCACATAGAATTAAAATTTTTGCATAGCAGAAATTATAGTTATTGAATAAATAATTTGTTAAGGACCGTAATAATGGATAAGTTACGTCGAGTTCTTAGCGGCGATGACCGCACACCGGAGGAAGAAAGTAGCATCATCACCCAGGTGAAACCATACTAATTCATTTGTCAACTATTTATAACTAACTGAATTAATTTGCCTATGATTATGCGTCATACGAATTTCTGCTCTACCACCGCTGGGACCAACATGTGTTTGAATTGCATTCCATTGACGACGATCAATGACCGATCTGTGACTCAACCGCCTTATCATGAATGGATTTATTATTCAACTACAAACAGATTAATGATATGTCAACATTAAGCTGGAGCACTCGCATCAAAGCGTTTTGTGTATGTTTCGTTTTGGGCATACTATTATCATTTCTCGGTTCCATTGCCTTGTTTCTGCATCGTGGCATTGTCGTCTTCGCTGTATTCTATACACTGGGCAATATCATCTCGATGGCCAGGTAAGTGGCTCAATGAAATTTCGCATTTGCTGGCTAATTACTGTGCATATATGCATATATAATATATTTGCTTTGCTGCAGCACGTGCTTCCTCATGGGGCCCCTCAAGCAGATCAAGAAAATGTTTGCCGAAACCCGACTGATAGCCACCAGCATCGTCATCGTATCACTTGTCATGACATTCGTCTCAGCTATTGTGGTAGATTATTATGATTTATTTTTGAGTTATTTGTTTTCAAACATCTTTATTGATTTGAAATTGTTGTCTTTATTTTTTTTTAGTTAAAAAAGGCCGGACTCACGCTTATATTCATAATCATTCAATCCCTGGCCATGACCTGGTATTCCCTCTCTTATATACCCTATGCTCGAGACGCAGTTCGTAGCACCGTATCGGCATGCTTTGAGGTTTAGTCTAGTATTTTGTACAGTACTTTACAATTATATATAACTTTATATATAGTATGTATTTCTTTGAAAAACAATATAATTTGTATTATTATTAATATGATTTACTTATACAGCTCTTAAATGGGCAATGTTACAAAAAATGTATTAATCTAGTTTTAGAGATAGATTTCTTGTTTTCTCTTCATTCATTCGGTTGTTTGCTTATTAACAAATTTAATATCAATTATACATACATATACACAATATAAATTTAATTTAATCAGTACAGTTTGCATAAATTGTATGTACACACAAATATTTTTCAAGAATTTTCTTTTGCTGTTCATTACTCCGTATTTTTTGCTTTACTCATCTTTACTTTATTCATTTTTGGTTTTACTAAAATGGCCTCATTTGATTTTCTTCTCTTTCACCGGCGACAAATTACCTAGAAAAACAAAGGGAAGAAACGCAAAAGAAATAGAAAATGATAATTGAGAAGGGAAAGTGAATTGTAAAGTTTTAAACAATTTTAATTTTAATGTCGTAGTGCGCTGTGCCAGGTCCATCAAAGGATTTAAGTCGTGGCACACGAAGAATGCAATTCCACGGAGAGTAAAAGAAAAGTCGAAATGAGAGTGAGATGAGTTGTAGTTGCAGCTTACACAGAGAGCAGAGAACCAAATGCATCAAAACAGCATATATAACATTCAAAACAAAGGAGAGTGCAAAGGTGCGCTATTTAAAGTGTAGGCTGAACTTACCTTTCGTAGGCGTGCCCTGAGGGCTGTCTCCGGTTCGTTTACTAAGAGCTGACGTCGACTGCGCCTGTGCCTGAGACTTCTTCAGTTGTCGTTGCTGTGGGGAGCAGAAATTTGTGTCGATTATAATGAATATAATATTTATTGCATTTGCTTATATTGCACTCACCTGCCAGACGACAGCCACGTAGACGAACGACACCGATATTAGCACCTGCACGGTCAGCCAAATCACAATGTTGATGGCTTGCGTGCGCTCAAACAACTCCTTGCCATTCTTAATACAGAGAATGGCCTCGGAAACCATAATGGCGCCGTAAACCCAACACTGGGTGCCGACGCGTTTGCAGCGCGTGTCGGTCACGTACACATAGTATTGCCTGAATATATATGCAAAAAGATGCGATTCAATTAACATATTGTAATTACATAGCAATAACTGAATTTACACACCTCACGGAGGGAGCCACAAAGAGTCCAATAAATATCAATCGTCCAATGACAATGAAATGATCTGGCGGCATCTCAAAGATGTGCTTCAAGAAGAACGTATTCAGTTCGGTGACCTGCCAGAAGATGACCAACTGCATCACGGCAGCGAAGCGCATTGCTGTCGACTTGGGATCCAACCAGCGGATGGCCGACCAGCTCTCCGGCGTAAATTGTAGCATGGCACGCTTTATTTTGCCCGTAGTCGTTGATATATCCTTGATGCTGGCCCATTTGTATTCGCGCATCTCGAGTATTTGGCAGATCTTGAGACCGACCCAAATGCCAAGGCCATTGCATATGATCACGTCCAGGATGAGCGCATCCCACCAGCATTCAATGAAGTTGGGCAGCAGATGGGCAAATGTGATCTCTGTTATCTCCCACATCACCGAGATGGCCCACAGTATGCCCATGTGACGTATAAGTATGGCCTTGAAGGCCCAGCCCAGAAAGTGGCCCCAGGCAAACACATCCAAATGTCCCTTGACACGTTCCCAGCTAACGTCCGAGCAATTGACACCATATTCCTGAAAGAAACTATAGTGTTAGTATAGTGTCTCAGCTGCTTAAAGCGGCCTCACTACTCACCTTCTCCATGTCGATGTGAAAATTCTTCAGCTTTGGATCGAGCCAATAGAATATACTTCGTATTGTTGGATAGTTTTGGAACATGAGAAACTGCAGCATGAGCAGGTACAGCACGGAACAGCCAAACAGGATGCGCCATACCGCTGGATGGGGGCGTGTAAACGGCCCATTGGGGAATGCGATAACCGAAACAATTAGAAAGAAGAACACAATGCACATCAGGCCCGACCAAATATTATCATCTAGGTTCTCCTCGTTTCTAGAAGTGTAATTAAAATGTGTTTAGCTTAATGGGTTGTAGCTTATATCAGTTTTGTAATTATTTCCATTTTCAGTGGCCCTAATCAGTTCCAGACTTTGACTATTTAATGTTATATTATATTTTGTATTGGGCTAAGTGACCTTTTGTTTGAAATTGAAATTGATTTGGCGCCTATTGTTGATAAAAACGAAATTTGTTACGGAGCCATGGGGAGGAGCAACGACAACACGACACATTTGGCAACGCATGTTCTACTCTGTTAAATTTCGATCTTTTCGAAGTTAGAGATGCGCACTTGAGTCAAGGTCTTGCACGAGAAGCACGAAAAATAGGTGATAAGAACTATTGAAAGACCCATTACAGCGACCTGAACTCTTTGAAATTTATGAATAATTCATATGATAACTAACTAACTTTAGAATTGGTATTAACTTGAAGTTTTGGATTTCCCGTACATACTTTTCAGACTAATATTGGAATTCATCCTTTATCAGAATGAGTTCGTGTTCACTCTTAACAACTGTTCCCACTGTTGGGCGTCTCACGAGTTCATCTCTACATTTTAATCACTAAAAGCTTTCTGTTTTGTAAATTTCGAAAGTGCTTAAATAGTCAACCAAGGTTGACGGGCGCATGTCACCAGGCGCAACAATTGCTTTTTGACGACCCGTTGACCAAGTTAATGCGCCAAATGCTGCTGATGCTTAGTCGCGCACAGCGTGGCTGACGAAAATAGAAAGATCGATAAATGTGCACGACGAACGGACGGACGCACTAATCTCCGTTGGCTGAGCTGCACTTACCTGACGAAGGCGAAATACATGACCGCCAGCACCGACACGGCCAGCAATGTGATGGTGTGGGGCTTGTAAAAGAAATCCAACGAAATGTCATCCACGGGACGTTCGTTGACAATGACAAAAGTCTGGGCGATTTCCTCCTTTCGCATTTTGCCATTGTCGTTGCGTTTGGTGGGCGTGGCAGGTGCACTGGCCGCGCCAGATATGTATTTTGTGGATGCAGCAGCTTTGTCGCCACCGGAGCTGCTCCGCTCCTCACCCTGTTGCCCATCGCCGGCGGCTGGAGCGCCGTGTGCGCTGGAACGTTTTACCATGTCTCTGCTACAGCAATACTTCAACAATCAGTTTAGACTACGACTCTGATGGCGTGATAATGGCGATAATGTTGTTATGTTAGCACGCGGACGGAGCAAAGGGTTGCGCAACATTCGCTCCACAGTTTATAGGATGCTCCGTTGTCCGAGTCGATTGAGTTATAGCGCTCCGGTAGCCAGCAGCGATGCTTAATGCTTATAGCAACTGTTTAATACAATTGTTAAATGTTTTATCTTATGATTTTAGCGTTGATGTTGCCCTGTTGTTAATTAATAAGCATGCTGCGCGGCGCTTAGAAGAGCACGAGAGCAAAGAAACCTAATCTGACACTTGCCGGGCAGCAACTACATGCTCTGATTTGTTGTGCCGTCACAAACAGCGTTGCCATATGTGGCAGCGTTGCCATGTGACTGGTTTGCCATACGTCAACTATGCAGCTTACCTATAAATAGACCTTTCTTGATATACAAAATATATAAGTATGTATTTAATTTGTGTTGGAATTACATATTTTGCTGTCTGCCTTAATTCTTTGCGATTACTACTTCCAGAACATCATTTTTCACTTGTGTCTGGTATGCAGGTCATTTGTCTTTGCAGCCCTGGACATCAGCTGCGACACTTGTTGTGTTTGCCTTAAATGCTTAGTTTATTGTGAAATAGCAATGCTGGACAAAGTAAGAAACGTTATCGTTGTGCTCTCGGGCAAGGGTGGCGTGGGCAAATCAACAGTTAGCACGCAATTGGCGCTAGCATTGCGAGCAACCGGTTATAAGGTCAGTTATAGTACAATAACTCTCCCATCTCTCACATTTCATATAAAGCATGTTTTTATTGATAGGTCGGTCTGTTGGATATAGATCTGTGCGGTCCCAGTGTGCCACATTTACTGGGCCTTGAGGGGCGTGACATTTACCAGTGCGACGATGGCTGGGTACCCATTTATACAGATGAGAGTAAAACTCTTGCCGTCATGTCCATTGGATTTTTGCTCAAGAACCGCAATGATCCCGTCATTTGGCGAGGACCCAAAAAGACTATGATGATTAAGCAGTTTCTTACCGATGTCAAATGGGAGGATCTTGACTATTTAATCATTGACACTCCGCCTGGCACCTCGGACGAGCACATCACGGTTATGGAATGCCTGCGCGAGGTGCCTTGTAATGGTGCAATCATTGTGACAACGCCGCAGGGCGTGGCCTTGGATGATGTGCGCAAAGAATTAACCTTCTGCAAAAAGACCGGCATTAAGGTGCTGGGCATTGTGGAGAATATGAGTGGGTGAGTAAATCACAACTGAGGTGGACTGATCAGCATATTAAAGACCAAGAGATAGAGAGTCAGAGAGAGAGAGAGAGAGAGAGCTTAGAGTTAGTAATTTTGTATTCACTAAGCTCTTATCTTGTATTAACATTTTTGTATTTCTCACAGTTTCGTTTGTCCGCACTGCAACGATTGCACGAACATCTTTTCGTCGTTAGGCGGCACGGAACTGGCGCAGTTGGCTCAGGTGCCACTTTTGGGCACCCTGCCCATCGATCCGCGAGTTGGCGTTTTGGCAGGCAGCACCGCATCGGTTTTGAACGAGCTCGCAGATTCCAGCACGGCGCAAGTATTGCGCAGCATTGTCCAACATTTGGATGGATTGACAGCAGTGCCAACGTCCGCTTAGACGGACAGTGAGTGGCACCCACTTGCCCCCTTTCCCATAAATCAGAGACTTAATTTCTTCAGTTTTTCGCTTTATTTTATTTTTATGTATTATGTATTTGGGGGAGAGATGCTAGAAATGCTTCTTATTCTACTCTTTTTGGTATATCAATTATTTTAGTTTTTGTTTCATTTGTTTAATATATATATTTCAATGTTTTATAATACAATTTATCACAATGCATTGTTTAATTAAGAAATAACTGTCTCAGATTGTCTGTATTCTAATGCACAGAAGCCCCTTTTAATGTGGGCAAAATGGGGCATGGCCTCATCAAACACAGTCATTTCCTATCGTATATGTATGTCCCTTCTTAGTTTTGTGTGCTAAAGTTGATGAAAAAAATCGCTGATTTCTCTGGAGCATTGTCTTTAGGCGGAGAGTTCACGACGAACTATTCCAATAAATTATAAATAATAAATTAGTATATATTTATACTACTACTACTATGAATATATGTATGTAAACGTGGGAATGATATCGATTTATTTTACAGTCTCGTTTTGTCGTTTGTCCATCAACGGCTGATCCACTGATCCACGTATATTAGGGACTTGTGGTTTATTCGCCTCCAAACACGGCACCATATCGTACTTCTTACAGTGTTTGTAATGGGCTTTTAGTGTCCATGCCATGGCCACAGCAACGATAATGACGGCGATAACTACAGTTACCCCTATAATTAAATCGTTTAGCTTATTGCTTGGACGCACTGCATCATCAGAATTTTGCGGATAATGATATTCATCGTCATCGATGGCTGACTCACGATGCCAACTGGTCGACTCAGGAGTCTGTGCGGCTGGAGCCGATGTGGCCGATGTGGCCGATGTGGCAGAGAGTGTTGTATATTCCATGCTGTTAGCTGTGCTGCTGCTCCTGCTGCTCTCCTCAACCTCTTCCATGCTGTTGACTGTGCTGCTACCCTTTGCCCTATATATATAAGCTGGTATGGTTGTTTCCATTCCCATGGCCTTTGTTTCCTCGTCTGTCGGCTGCTCAGTGGTGCTTTCGTATTCCTCCTCACTGTTCAGCTCTTGAGAGTCCTCCTCGAATTTGGTTTCAGCAGTCGAGCTGCTCTCCGTAGAAGGGTTACTCCAAGCTGTTGAGCTGCTCCAAGCAGTTGTGCTGCTCTCTGCGGATGGGCTGCTCCAAGCACTTGTGCTGCTCTCTGTGGATGGGCTGCTCCAAGCAGTTGAGCTGCTCTCTGTGGATGGGCTGCTCCATGCTCTTGTGCTGCTCTCTGTGGACGGGCTGCTCCATGCAGTTGAGCTGATCTGTACAGGAGGCGTTGACTCTATGGTAACGATATCTGGCTCAGCACAAACGGGACAGCACTCGTTTGGCTCTTTCTTTGGATTGGCGCATTCTGGAGTCTTGCATAGCACACTCACGCAGCTGGTTTCCATGCCAGCGATGCAGGTGCAGGTTTCGCAGCCATTACCCTGGATCCAGGATTCGTTGATCGACTTGTACTGTCCATCACTGGACAGACAGTTCTCCGCTGGCGGCTCGTACTGTTGGCACTCTGAGGTGCACATTTCATGGCAGCTGGAGCATCTGATGCAACTGTCTCTCCAAAAGATGATGGGCGAGCCCTCAACACAGTCCGGTATGGGGCCGCATTCATATGTGGAGCAACAGCTGCCCGGCTGTCCATTGCCTGTGCTCAGCTCATGGAGCACCAGGCCCGGCTTACATCTGGGCTTCTTTGGGCATTCATCGCACATGCAGTAGCCTTCGTGGCAGTAGAGGTTGTGGTTAAACTTGTACGCAATTCTGCTATGGGCGGGGCAATCAGACGAGTCTCTCGTATTGCATATAACTATGGGATTGTGATAGCCTAATTCGAGATCTGCAACGAGAAGAGAGAGAGAGAGAGAAGATTAGCCAAGAGCAAACAATATGAGACAAATTCCAATGGGAGCTCCATTTGGATGGCGTGTGAACTGAATACGTTCCACCATTGTCTAAGGTCAGTAACTGACCTTAAAAGCTGATAAACGACACGCTGTTATCTCGTTTGATTTGTTGGGTCTGAAGGGTAAAAATTCGTAGGTTTGCCTGCTGCCTGATAAAAGAATTTCTTGGTCGGTCTGATATGAACAAAAATGGCAGTGGAACAAAGCAATGTGGAACGCGAGTTGTATAACTTGGTAAGGCATGCCAAAGTGTTACTGGGCCAACGACTCATCCAAATGGATTGTGGCTTAACTTTTAATATATGAATCTCTATATATATGTATTGTATATGTATAGGAATATAAACAAATCTATATCACTATCTGTTATTTCGATTTTAATTTGAACTTGGATAATAAGAAAATTTGTTTACTCTATTCTTATCGAGTGAAATGGTGTATATATACATATATACATAAAAAGAGATATATATATATATCTATTTTTTTTTCTTCTCTCTACTGATTGTATTTAATATAACGCCGCATTTGTCAATAGATGGTTTTAGGTAAATTTATAAAAATTGCAATTTGATTAGCAATAGATTGTGGACATTTGACGAGACCGCGAGACGCACTGTCGAGTGTCAGGGACAGCCCCTAAAAAAGTATCGTATCTCTTTGCGCTGGGATACAAAGTACAGTGGCACACTCTCGTTTATCGTTTATTTATTGTTATTGATTTTTGACATTTTATCATTGAATTAGCAAATGACCGCTGGGACCGTGGGGGCCCAAGGGGATTGTGAATGGCAGGCAACAACAAACAGTACTGTACAACAACAACTACAACAATAAGAATGAATTATTTTGGGCAAGAATTTCTTTGGAGCAATCGATCGATCCAGCGATCATTGAATCAATAATTTTCAATATGCCATATCACGTTTCGTTGGCAAACGTACTTTTATTATTCATATTATTATTATTATTATTATTACGAGAGTACTGTGTGCCCTTTAGACAGTTAATTGATAAGGAAACTTTCCTAAATATTGACAAGGCTATTGATTTCGATATATACAATATTATATGTAGTATATATAAATATGAAATTGACGTCATAGATGCCGCGTATAGGTGAAGCGCAGCCGCATTCAATTGAACATCATTTAAAATAGATATAACTTACGCTATCAAAGAAGACGGATCTATATACAGACACAGGGGGTGGGGCGACATTTATTGCGAAGCGCATAGAAGGGCGCACATAAGTCACGACACTTTGCGTGATCTGTTAGAGATGTAAGTGGAATTCTAGGGCATTTCAATGTGTTTGGCTTGAGGATGATGTTGATATTTGAGATATTGCTTGCTCTTCTTCTTTATGGGTTTTTTATCATTCATACTGCAGCCAAGAGAATTGTGCTGGAAAAGCGTTATACAATGTGCTTTAATGTGGTCTCAGCATTTGCGAGCTTTGGCTGCGCTTTCTTTTTTTTTTTTTTTTTTTGTCAATTATGATTATTTTCAGTTTGCTTGGGGTTTATTGACCCGATTGGTCAGCAAAAAAATAGCTTGAAAAATAAAAACAGAAGAAAAGTGCCAAGATACGCAGTTAAAGCCAGTTAAATAAAAGCAAACACACTGCCGACACCGTCCAAAGGTCTTACATTTAATGCAAATTAACTAGGCATATATCCGTCTTCGCAAGTGGGTCGCGCCGCTACTCTCATTAGCAAAAGCGATGCGGGAGCCGGATGGCATCCGCGATAACGAATCTGCGAAATGTATGAATACCAGAAGTGCTAATTACGTCACTTGTTAGCTTTTTCTATATACCCTATCTACCTGCAGCTAGATCAATTGGGGTATCTGAGTTGAGGATAGCATTTATTTGTGGAATTTGTGAAAGACGTGTTCCTTATCGATATAATGAGTACTATATTCATCTATTCTATATGCACATATATATGCACATATGCACATATTATATGTATATAAGTATATTATATTATAAATATATAATCTATGTTACTTTGAGGTTGAGTTAAAAATGTTAGATAACCTATAAAAGGCATTTACCTATATACTCATTATTCTTAAGACTACTACAGGGTATCTACAGGTGTAACCATACTGTTAGTCAGCTTCCTTGTTTTGTTGTTAAACAACACACAGACAGACACACACACACACACTTAGATATATTAGCGAACATTTCATATTTCGTTAACTATATATATGTATATATATTGTATATACATATATACTTTTTTTTTCGTTTTTTGATTGATCTACAGTCGAAGGTTGCATGCAAAAGTGCAATTCGTTTTTCGAGTCTGTTTTTCCAGTTTCCAGATGGAATAAGCTATAGAGTCTCTATACGTAAACTTCTAGCGTCATCGGTATTTAAAAAAATAAATAAATTTTAGTACAATTAGCTGGCAAGATTGTTGACACGCCGCCACTGTCTGTCTCACACAGGCTGACATGCAAAGTTACTTAAAATACAACAAATATGGAGGGAGAGAGAGAGAGGGAGAGGGAGAGAAAACTTAAATTAAATACTTCAAACAAGAAGAGGAGAGGTCGTCGCTGTCGTATCTTAACTACAATATTGCTTTAAGGTCGCGAGGAGAAACGGGTTGATGTCGCCGTTACAAAAACTTGTGGTTGACAATCACAACAACAACAACAAACAAAGCAACAGCGACAACAACAACCGCAACTCCCAAACTGATGAAGTAAGTGTTGTTCTCTTAGTCAACGTCTGGGGCTTGGGTAGCCTTAAAGCTAAGATATCAACATAACTGCGCATACGCTCTTTTACACCTAAGAACCTAATTGATGCTCAGCCTGTCAAAATATACATATGTATGTATGTACATATATAGTATGTGTGTGCATATATAATTTTGTTTAATTTTCGCTCAACACACGTCAATCACGTTTCGTAAATTTGTGCACAATTATCGTATATTATTATTATAAATTTGTGGGACTTTAAAAGTTCATTTGCAATGCTTTCAAATTATGGAATTGATTTACGTTTGAGCACTGACTGCGCTTCACAGTAATTACAGTTGTTGAATCACTAACAAAAAAATATATATGTATATAAGTATATAATATATATAATATATGTAATATAGAAAGAAGCCTTACTAACTTTGAATATCTATTCAAGAATTACAAAATAGACATAGCTTCAATTATAGTTATAGTATATAAAAAAAATGTTGTCCAAAGCTTAAGCTAAATGGCTAAGAAGTAATACTGCTGGCTACGCCCGACTAGAAAATACTCGGAAGATTTGAGCTGAAAAGGCATTCAGAAAATATTTTACATTTCGTATACATTCACGCATTCGATATACAAAAATTAGTTACGATAGCTCTTAA